CCCCCCCCCCCCCAATTTTTGTGACCATGACTTTCCTTGTGTCTCGACTACCCGCTACCATGACGTAATATACTGACCAGGAGACCGTCTTCCGTTCCGGCGATCAGAGCAACTAGCGCCGAGACGCAACCAGATGGAAGATTTGTCCTTGACATTGTTGAGGTGGGACAGTTGGGGGAGGTTGAATTAATATGGATATACATGTTTATACATCAATCTCTATACAGCAGGGCCATGGGAAGAAAAGTCTGCGGCCGGGGGGCGAAGCCTGAACATGACCACCTCCATTCTTTCATTAATATTATGATACAGGCATATGTATGGTATGTGTATGCACATACATTTGGATAATGGAGGATTTTTGCACGCCCTTAGTATGGCGCCCGGAGTCGACCACCCCTTTTAGAATACACTGATGTGATACAATACACTGATGTGATACAATACACTGATGTGATACAATACACTGATTTGATACAATACACTGATGTGATACAATACACTGATGTGATACAATACACTGATGTGATAAAATACACTGATGTGATACAATATACTGATTTGATACAATACACTGATGTGATACAATACACTGATGTGATACAATACACTGATGTGATACAATACACTGATGTGATACAATACACTGATGTGATAAAATACACTGATGTGATAAAATGCACTGATGTGATACAATACACTGATGTGATACAATACACTGCTGTGATATAATACACTGATGTGATACAATACACTGATGTGATACAATACACTGATGTGATAAATGCATTGATGTGATACAATACACTGATGTGATAAAATACACTGATGTGATAAAATACACTGATGTGATACAATACACTGATAAGATAAAATACACTGATGTGATAAAATACACCGATGTGATAAAATACACTGATGTGATACAACACATTGCTCTATCATTAACATAAAGGAAGACAAATAAGAGACACTTATTTTATTATATTTGCTATATTTGATATACATCTACAGTCCATCATATTTAATGACAAAAATTCACTTAGACCTTTCAGACACAGTCCATTCAGATAACTTGTTTTCTATTAACTATTTAACTTACACAATCAGTACCAGATTCATTCATTCAAGCTATAACTTCAGGAATGTCTATCATGGGTTTGGAGATAACAACCTATTTCATTTTAATTGAAATTCAAACCTCGCACAGTGAGTTTAAACATCAACAAATGGCATTATTCTGTTGCCTGGGATTAACGTCTATGGGTCAGGAGACGACTCCTCTCCATCATGATCCCATGACTTGACCTATACTTATAGTGATTGGAGCGAGGCTGCCCTTTTAATGGTGGGCAGTTAATGACATGACTTAATGAATAGGAGCAACACTGCTCTATACTTGGGGGACAGTCACTGATGTGAGTCAGTGAGATAGGAACAAGACTGCTCTGTACCTGGTTGGTAGTGATGTTGCTAAATGAGATAGGAAAGATCATGACTTCTCTGCACCTGATGGGCAGTCAATAATATGACTTAATGAGATGGCCGCAAGACTGCTCTGCACCTGATGGGCAGTGAATAATATGACTCAATGAGATGGCCGCAAGACTGCTCTGCACCTGATGGACAGTCATTGATATGACTTAATGAGATAGCCGTAAGACTGCTCTGTACCTGATGGACAGTTGAAGATGAGGCTTCATCAGCAGCAATGAGTTTAATTCAGCTATTCTTTTTTGGTCTGGAGACCAAGGAAAAGATTCTCCCAATCAGTGCAGAAAATCCATCCAGAATGGCCGATGATGATATGACACAGGCCATAACATGACTTGATGTCTCACAAAACAAACTATTTAAAAAATGGGTTCAAAATGTAAAAAGTGATGTTTAAAAAAAAAAATTAAATTAAAAAAAAAAAATTAAAAAACAAGAATTAAAGTTACCAGTTTCAAAAGAAACAAAATTTCAGCTTTGGACGGAGAAATTTTCACATAAATATAATTTTAAAATGTAAATTACATTCGACTGAGAAATGTGACCTTTGAAAAGCTGTTTTGTTCTGGGGGATATATTTTAGCATTTTGATACAAATAATGCATCCCCCAACTGAATGACTCTTTGACTCATGTTATCAGTTGCTTTAAACAACCCAGAGTTTTGTATGATGGCTTTGTTACATGGCTTACACTCATAGAGAAATTTATACCCTCATTAATAATGATAGTATTAATATTAACAAATTTACTGATATCACTTGGTAATGAACATCCAGTGAAGACATTGGAAATGTTTGAGAGCAGGAAAGTAAAGAAAAGTTCAATAAAACAATGCATGACAAGAATTGTATGAACTAACTAACTAATAAAGAGCAAAATTAACACATTAACCTATTTCAAAGTGTATTTAACAAGTCAAAGTCAATGATGAACTTACATTAAATTTCAAGCATTCAACTTTGTTAAAATATTGAGATGATTTTTCTCCTTTCTTCAACATTTAAATTAACATGTCTCAATGAATGATGGGTGGCATCTAGTGACACATCTGGATCACACCACTGATGATACAAAAATAAGCTACATTTATAGAAGTAGAAGGCACACAATGATGTTTTATTTTGGACGGTGGCTGGGAAGAAAACTGAATCCATGCTAAACTGTTCTAAAAATGTTTTCTTATAAACAAATAGGTGTTTAATCATTTGAACATTTTTTTCACTAAGCAAATAATTGCTGTCACAAAATTCATGTTTTAATTTATCATATTTAAAAATTTTGTCTAAACACTATTACTTATTGTCTTTTAAATTTTATTTCTAGATATTTAAAACAGTTTTGTATAGAAAGCAATAATTTATCAGTGAAATAAAATATGACCAGAGACCGCAGCAATCACCAGCCAAGGCATGGCACTCGGACCATGCCACTTGGGGGCTGAGTTCAGAAAGGGATAGAAGAAATCGTATGGCAAGCGCACGGCAAAGGTTGGATACTTCCCCTCCACAGCTTGAGGTGACTGGGAGACATCAATAAATGTAACGGAGCTGCTGATTTCAACTTTTTGTGACAGCCCCGATGCGCCGGGCTGACAGTATGGACCAGAGCACTGTGAGCAGAGAAAAAGATGGTTTAGCCTTTCTTGAATAGTCATCTTCTTTTATTATTCATTCAGCTTTTTCAAGCAGGCATTTCTAAAAATTGCATTTTTTTAAAAATATATATATTTTAAAATATCTATGGCCATTTCAATTAATAAATTGCTCTTCAAAAACAGAAGAAAGAAATATCCCACACACAATGTAACTAGACTAAAACAAGGATACTAACTTTCAAGAAACTTGTCATAATGTTGATAATGAGAGAAGGAGAAAATTAAAATAACAGCATAATCTTCTAACATCTCACTTGTGAGTTTGACATCAGGAATTGACCCAACCGAAACATTGGACTACACTGTAATCATGATTGAAGCACACATGCAGCAATCATTTCTGATTCAATTATCTTTTATTCTATGTACCAGTACTTAATTCACAAAACAGATTTGTTTTAATTTTCCTGAAACTAAAACCAAACCCTACGTGGAGATCATTCCCTTTGGCTGGAAATTGACAGAGTGAAATTTGTAAACAGCTGGAGTTCATAGGGTCAAACAATGAATTACAGTCTTATAGAATAAAAGAAATAGATATCACCAACCTTGTATGAGACAGTCTGAGGAGCATCATAAACATAGGCCACACCAATAATCTTAGGTTGTGGGTTGGGCAAGGCACCAATGTTTGCATACAGAATGTGGAGGTTGGCCCCCAATGAGAGGAAGCACTGTGAAGATGCCTGCAAAGAAAATATGTTTGATTTGTGCACTGGATAAACACATTTAAGAGCAAGAAAGAAAAGAACCCAACATCATGTAATGTCGATACATAATAATTTACAGCTTTTTTTTAAAAGGCATCCGAGTTGATGAGACGTTGTATAACGTAGCTGAGGTGATGAGACATATTATTTAACACAGCTGAGGTGATAAACTATTTTTTGAGGGTATTTATATAAGTTTGGCATACAGCTGCTTTCGAATAAGCAATACAAATTCAAATATAAATACTTCTTTTTGAAACTAATGAGAATATCAGAAACAATGTTCTTAGTAAATTATTTTCAAACTTAAAAGACTGATTACACCTAAAGGTACAGATACAATTCACAGATACAATCTGTGAATAAAATAAAGTACAGTACCGTATCTTTTATCAGTTCAGCTTGTTTTTAAAATTTACAGGGAGTACATACGGTTTGGGGAGGTGGACGATTCTGGTAGAGAATTTCAACCCAGTCGCCAGTCTTCTTGATATCTGAGTCGCCGAACGTGGCGACGTAACGGCTGTTCTTTGGGTAGACATTGAATGCTGGGTCAAAGGTGGGGACAGCATAACCTTCAATGGCAGTGAAAATGCTCTGCTGTAGGAGCTGACAGTTGGAGATGTCACTAGTTGAAGTGACTCTGAAACAAATCAACACAAATCAACTAACAAATTTCTTTTTGTAATAGAGAAAACTTTTTAAAATTTCAAATTTTTATATTATTATTTATTTTTTTCTTCACAAATTAATCATCAGCTTGAGGATCTATTTTTATAATGATGAAAAACAATCAAAACAACAACCCAAAATGAAACATTTGAATGATGAGAATTGCATTACTGTATAAAACATCCAGTCCGCATATCTTGACCAAACAGGACAGGTTCTCTGAGCTGCCCGGCGTCGGTCAGACAGTCCCCACTGACGGACGGACGAACCAGTGCCAGCTGCTGACCCCGGTATTGCGTCAGAAGGATTCTTTCACTTTGTTGCTGGTTAGGGTTGACAGGGTTATAAGTGACGGCTCAAGAGTTAACAAACAGATTTATTGTGACAGCTCAAAGGGTTAGACAGTGCATTGCTATGACAGTTGCAAGGTTGCACACTGACAACTCAAGGGTTAACAGATTCATAGTGACAATGAATGAGAAAAGATTCCAGTTTGATGACAGCTGATAGAATGACAGCTGATAGAATTAGTATCAGTTATCAGTTTGACAATTAAGATAAAATACTCACAGTTGTTACATCTAAAACAACAAAAACACCGGTTTCCTTATGAGGTTAATGCATCATGTATTTGACCTGGAATATCAACCATAAACCATCCTGAAGCTGCATTCTAGGGATCAACCGGGTAAACATTTTCACCTGGTAACGAATCCAAGTTCTTTTACTGCTATTTGCCAAATCCAGTTGCGTATATATATTAATGCGATCCATACATAATTCCATGTCTACCTATAATGCGATCTAATAATAATTTAATACAAATTAACTGAATAGCTATTTATTTCTAAATTAAAATGTCAAATCCTTTAAATTATTTAAAGCCAACTGGGGCCATTCCGAGACAACTACGCTAAATCCCTTCAAAGGGGCTCTACTTATATTACTGGTAGTTATGCGCAGATACTATGCACAATAGGTCACCAAATGGTTGCATAGACATTAGTTTAATAATACATCGTGCGTCTGTAATGAATTTGTTTTTTTATATGCACTTAAAAAAACTTAATTCGAACTGCTCGAACCGCCTACTTTTAACAATTTATGTTCACATAGTGCATAGAGTTTTAAAAAAAATATATCCATGCGATGATATGGTAAAAAATAATGGTATAAGACTGTAAACTCAACAACTTTGTTAAAAGGCAGATGATATTGACTTTACTTCGTTAATTTACAGCAGGAATCTGTATTACCCGATACTTATACTGCAGCTAGCATAATTAACGTATTAGTTATCTGTAATTTAGTAGTATAATTACATCTAAATTGCTATTAATTTCATTATCCGAGTCTATTAAAAAAAAAAAAAAAACAAAAACCCCCCCCCCCCCCCCCCCCCCAAAAACCACAAAAAAACAGGCTTTAAACAAGCTATTTTCATTTAAAAATTGTGATTTATCCAGTGGGAAAGAATGTAAATATTTTAGAATGCATACACAACTAATGAAATATCATGTGGATAGCACTCAGTAGATGGTGTTTTTTCCCCATTCTTTCTGGGTTTTGGTGGGCACTGAGCTCCAATCCGAAATGTCAGAATAACCGCAATTTTATTACAGGAACACAAATATAATGAATATCTTTAAAAGTTTAATTTTTCAAATAAATATCTGGATCAGCATCTGTAGTAATAGCAGTATTTGCTGAGGTGAGCACTTGAAAAAAAACAGGCCATTCGGCCGCGGCTAAATGTCCAAGCAGATTTCGGGTTGTTCCCTACAGCATTGGTTTGGGTGAATGTGGAGGGAAGGGCGTCGAACAGTTCATCCTCCCAACCCTCATATTCATAAAACATTAGTGACATATTAAATTATGTCTTGTACAATGGCAATCATTTTTTTCATCTTGGTGGGCCTCTTTTGTACAGCTTATTCTTGACTTCGAATGTCATTAAACAGAATTATTAGCAATCTGAACATGTGCAGTAAAAAAAAAAAACTACAGCAAAGGATACTCAGTTGTAGCACCCGTTACAGTACGATTAAATACACCAGCCGTGATGGGTTGGCCAATCTGGTAGCCAGGATTTCCACTACGAGCCACAGGTTGGGTGGCAGCACTTGACGCCTGAAATAGTCAAAATTCCAAAGAATGGTAATTATAAATAAATGTAATAATAATTAAAACTGACAATTCTAATATGATTTAGGTACCATAAAACCGTGGCCCAAATTTGGTTTAAAATTATTTATTTTAAAAAATTTCAAATGACATTTCTTACCTTTGAGAATGAAGTTGAAAATTTTTGGGTCACACTGTTGGTGGTGATGTCAGAGTAGACAAAAGTGACATAGGCTTTCTCCACTCCATAGATCCCATTGGTCTCAAACCTGTAGTGGACCTGGGCATGTTGAAGATGACAATGTTTAGATGTTTCCCAACAACAGTGGGGGAAAAAAAATAGTTCAAACTTGAACTCAGGGAAACACAGTCAACATGTCCTTTTTTACTGGTACGAACATAAATGACTGTCCTCTTGATTGGCGCGTGGCATGAGTCTCCATATTCAGAAACTAAATTTCCAGAGGTTATCTCCTCTACTATAGTTTGGGATTACCCTTACTATAGTTAGGGATTACATTTACTATAACTTGGGATTACCTCTAACATGGTAAGGGATTATCTATAATATAGCTTGGTTTACCTCTACTATTGCTTGAGATTACCTCTACAGCAGCTTGGGATTACCCTTACTATAGTTTGGGTTTACCTTTACAATAGCTAAGGGTTAACTCTACTATAGCTTGGGGTTACCTATAATATAGCTTTGGATTACCTCTACTATAGCTTGGGATTATCTCCACTACAGCTTGGTATACCTCTACCATTTCTTGGGATTACCTCTACAGTAGCTTGGGATTACCTCTACTATAGCTTGGTGTTACCTCTACTATTGCTTGACTGCACACTGAACCATTGTATGTGGGGGCTGCTACTGGTAGCTGAGTAGTTGAGTTACAGGGTGCTTTGAAACCATTCTGTATGCACTCAATGGGTTCAAACTCTAGGGTAAAGTTGTTGTTGTACAAGTCTGTGACGTCTGTCAGGTTGGGTGAACCTGCGGGGACAACAGTTTGATGTTCGACGAATGAGTTTTCTAACCCTGACAGCAGGACAGTCTTAGGGTTAATCTACACTCTAATAAACATTCAAGTTAACTTTGAATAAAACATTGAAGGGAAAAAAAAGGGAATGCAAAATAATTAACTGATTTTACTCATTTGATTTATTTTTTTTTGGGGGGGGGGGTGTGTTGTCAATGACAAATTGTAGCAACAACCCAGAAACAGATATTATTAAGAAACTTCTGTACTATTAAATAGTCATTTAGCAAATAAAGGCAAGAAATTTTTTTTTTTTAAATTAGCCAACTAAAATATAGCAGCTGTTAAACAAATGAATTGCCATAAGATGTAATTTGAGCTTTTGTTCTGATTCAAGAGATCTTTTTGCCTTAGTTTTTGTTCTGATTTAAGAGATCTTTTTTCCTGAGCTTTTGTTCTGATTTAAGAGATCTTTTTGCCTTAGTTTTTGTTCTGATTTAAGAGATCTTTTTGCCTGAGCTTTTGTTCTGATTTAAGAGATCTTTTTGCCTGAGCTTTTGTTCTGATTTAAGAGATCTTTTTGCCTGAGCTTTTGTTCTGATTTAAGAGATCTTTTTGCCTGAGCTTTCGTTGTGATTTAAGAGATCTTTTTGCCATCTGAAAACTTCTCAGTTCAGAGAAATAAAACAGCCCTTGTCAAACCTCATCTTCTCCCTGCAGACCCCAGATGATCTATTATTATGATCTACATATGATAATGTGAGTAACACATAATTATGTCATTAACATATGATAATATGATGAAGCACACAAATATTAATATTCTTTTATTGGTTCACTGTTTAGTAACCTCACCAATAACACAGCCCCAGATGACATTACAGGAGATATTTTTGTAGCCACTATAACATTTACTTTCTTCCAATATTACTATGAGTCATGACTTATTTATCAACCATGAAACGTACCAACAATAGGATCCTTCACTGATGTTGAAGAGTTGAATGCCTTCAACAGGAAAGGGTCCTACAAAAAAGATGAATCGGCGTCATATTTTCTTCATAAAACTTTTAAAAGAATAAAATAAATTGTAGACCTTGCCATGTAGTCAGAATTTTATTTAACCTCTTACAAGCTTTAAAACTGGTGACTTAAATTTAAGCCAGTTATGTCTAACCTTTACAATCCTAAAGCCCTTGTAAAATGTGTCTGCCTTAAGAGCTGGATCACTTAGGCATTCAGTACTTAGATTTGTAAAAGTTCTGCTGCACTGATTTGTCTGTTCCAGGAGATAACCTGTGAGTTTGAATGGAGCAAGCCTTGTTTACATATTTATAAAGAGAGAACTTGGCTGATTTTAAAAGTAAATAGGGTTTTCTGATGTGCATCTGTTTGCTACCATCTGCCTGTTTTTATCCCAAGAGGTTAACATTAAACAGTTTAAGGCAGGGGTGTCTATCCCCCCCCCCACCCTTGTGTCAATGCCCCTGGTTCAAGGCTCTGAGTATGACCCCCTCTCCCTTGTGTAGATGCCCCTGGTTCAAGGCCATAAGCATGCCCCCCCCCTTGTGTAGATGCCCCTGGCTCAAGGCCATTAACATGACCCCCAACCCCTTGTGTAGACGCCCCTGGTTCAAGGCTATAAGCATGACCCTTCACCCTTGAGTATATGCTCCTAGTTCAAGGCTCTAAGCATGACCCCTCCCCCTTGTGTAGATGCCCCTGGTTCAAGGCTCTAAGCATGACCCCTCCCCCTTGTGTAGACGCCCCTGGTTCAAGGCTATAAGCATGACCCCTCCCTCTTGTGTAGATGCCCCTGGTGCCAGGCCCTAAGCATGCCCCCTACCAGCTGGATTGCTGTCAATGCAAAGAGTTGATGAAGTCTGGCTGGCGGGAAGGCTTAGGTAACTGAAAGCCTGGTTTTGGAATACAACATAAATCGGATCTCCACTCTGTGGATAAAAGAAAAAGAAATTCTAGCAGTTAGCTGGCTTGGCAAAGTAAGTAACGCACTGGTGGTCAGGGGTTTAAATCAAAGCACCACCAAACTTTCACACCAGTCCTCACTACGGACCAAGGAAAAATATTGCATGCTCAAATTGGATGTGCTAGACAATTTTGTTGAATATAACTTGCTGTAAGGCTGTAATATAGCAGGAATAAAGATACAGCACAGAATCAGAGAATAAAATTTTTTTGTAAACATTTCTTTTTGTATGGTAGACCTTTTGGTGAAGCTTTCATTGATAAATACCCATTCTTTGGCTCAGCTTGCAATAGTGAAATGACTTTGGCTCTCCCTGTACTAGCGAAATAACTTTGGGTCACCCTGTAATAGTGAAATAACTTTGGCTCTCCCTGTAATATCGGTAGTGAAATAACTTTGACTCACCCTGTAATAGTGAAATAACTTTGGCTCACCCTGTAATAGTTGTTAAATTGAGAAGTCAGTGTGGGTGGTGGGGCTGTGTCCTGAAAGGAAAATTTTCCATACTGATCTGCATAGCGGAGAAACTCTGTTTCACTTGTCACCAATGTTGGGTTAGTGTAATAGTTGCGCTCAGCCTCTGTGAAGTTTTAAAAACAAAAAGAATTTTAACCATTTCATCTGAATTAATAATCTATAACCTATAATGTCTATAGTTGATTTCATTGCATATCACATGCTCAAGATATTTTTTTTTTTGGGTGCTTTTTACCCAAGAAACACAAAATAATGATCGTCAAATTTTGCTTGTATTGTGATCAATAAATTTAGAAAATGACAACAACAAAAAATTAAATAAATTTTGGCATCAAAAAGCTGAGATTGACCAGAAAAGACTAAGAGTAAGAGCTAGAAGAAAAATAATAAACATAAATAAACATGTTACCATTGTCGAAATAGATGCAGAATAATCCGTTGGAGTCTCCTGATGCAGCCGGGCCATTTTCAAACAGAAATACGTCCTTATTAAAACACAACTTGTCATCCAATCTACAGAGAAGTAATTTTAGCACACGATCACATACTCATAAGCAGCAAAAAAGCATAAAACACAATGGCTGAAATCAAAGAGAAAAATGATAAGAGTACCAAAAACTTACCAAAAACCAACAAACCACAAAAGCCTACCAAAATGAAGTAACAGCATATCTAGTAGGCTCACAGAAGAAATAAACAGGGAAAACAACATAGATGCACAGTGGGATAGGATAAAAATGCTATGAAAAGTCAGCAGGAAAAGTAGTAGGATTCCATCAAACTAACAGAAGAGTACGCTGGTTTGATAATGAGTGCAGTGAGACTGCCGAAGAAAGAAACAAGGCACGAATGACCATGATACAAAGGGAAAGCAGAAATATGAGACAAAAATACAATGAAGCCACAAGGAAAACCACGAAAATGCTTAGGAAGAAAAAAGTGAATGGAAAAAAAAAATTAACTAAAAGAAATAGACGACTTATCAAGAGAAGGAAATATTAGAGGAATGTACATGAAGATAAAACACAAAAATAATGGATACCAAACCAGACCTAAAATGTGTGAAAGCAATGATGGAGAATTAATTATGGACAAGATGAAGATTATCAACTACTGCATTGTAGAACCAAACCCTTTAATAAACTCCCCAACTTTTGAAGAAACTACAGAAGTAATCAATTCTATGAAAAACCACAAAGTCCCTGGAGAAGACCTCATCACAGCGGAGCTTATAAAATATGGAGGAAGAGGACTAAAATTATAACTAAAATTTGGCAAGAAGAGAAAATTTCATCAGCATAAGTAACCGCAACTACAGAGGAAGTTCCCTATTAAATGCTACATGAACAATACTGACAAAACTAATTGCCAAAAGACTACATCTTTACACTGAACAAATACTAGGTGACTACCAATGTGGATTCAGACAAAACAGATCAACGACTGATCAGATTTTCACCATCAGATGCTTATTAGATAAATGTTATTATGAATATAATATCACAGTACATCAACTCTATTTATCTAAATATCTACATGAGACTCTGCAAGAGTTTGGCATACCCAACAAACTGACAAGAGTGATAAATATAATATTAAACAACTCAAAAAGCAGAGCCAAGGTTCAGGGTGAGTATTCATGGGAATTTCAGATTAGACCAGGCCTAAGACAAGGAGACTCACTGTCTTGTATGGTATTTAACCTAACGTTGGAGAGAGTTATAAGAAGCATAAATATTGATACCTGAGGATTAATAACAGGATACTTTCTGAGGGAAACCCAAGACCAACAACCAATGGGGACTCTCTACGATCAACCCTTTCAGTATCTTGCATATGCTGATGACATAGTATTTTGGCGTAAAGTAGTAAAGACATGTTAAAAGCTGTTATTGAATGAGAAAACGCATCACTACAAGCATGACTTAGATGATGCTTTTCTTTTCCATGCTTGGATTCCCAGCTTCTGAAGATCCCTCTCCATATCATCTATCCATCTAAGCCTAGATTGTCAAAGATATGGAGATATGGATAGATGATATGGAGAGTGATCTACATAAGCTGGGAATCTAAGCATGGAAAAGAAAAGCATCAGTTAGGTCATAGTGGAAGAATGTGGTGAGGCAGGCCAAAGCCCTAAATGAGCTTAGCACCAAAGAGATGGATGGATGGATCACATACTCTGTAGAAAAAGATATGATTTATTAAATACACATCTAAAAAAACCTGAATTCAAATTTAATATTTATAAAGTAAATCTCTTCAGTAAGCTCATAAAAAATTGTAAAAAAAACCAGATTGCATCAATTACATTTTATGCTACTATGGTGCTCATCGATGGCATAAACATGCATTAGAAGCTAGTGAAAATGTTAAAAGGATGTTTCTCACGTATAAGAACTGGGAAGGCACTCTGAGAAGACAAGTTTATCAGCAGCACTACACTCTGGGTCACAGCAGCAGTTAACATCACAGGCATTTCCAGTTAAATCACAAGGACACTTGCTGATATCTGAATGGAAAAAAATACAAGTTTTAAAAAAAGCTCTAGATGAAAAAATAAAAATGTGTCATATTTATTTATATAATATTTATATAAGCAGTGCTCAAAGCAGTGTACAATTATCATGCCATATAAATTTGTCCAAATAACTTATGTTCATGAGGGTGTGACTTTTAAACTCAGTACTACTTCAATAATGAGGTTTGATTTCTCTTATTAAATGTGGATTGTATATAGAGGACATTATTTTATGTTACATCAATAACTTATTTAAACTTTTCTTTTTATACTAAGATTATTTTTAAACCACTGTAAACATTGAGCATCTATTTATTAATCTTTAAAGATGGAGTGTACATGCATATCAGATCTGATGGTAAGCTGTTCAATATCACTCGCCTTTGTGCAAAGACCAAGGTTAAAAAGGTACTAATTCGTGAAATTCTGTTCACTGATAATGCCGCCTTAGCATTGCACACACAAAAGAGGACCTTCAGCATCTAGTCGATTGCCTCACTTATGCAGAAAAAAAGTTTGGACTATCATTTATTCTACAGAAAACAAATGTCATGATGCAAGAAGCACCATCCCCTCCAAACACATCTATTGAGGGACATAATCTGTCGGTTGTTGAGCATTTCGCATACCTTGGATCCAATATCTCACAAAAGCAGCAGCAACTGCAGCTAAATTGAATAAGTGGTTATGGAATAATCTTAAACTAACTGACAGAACAAAAACTAAGCATTTATCAGGCATGTGTGTTTAGTATGCTCCTATATGGTAGTAAAGTGTGGACCATATATGCCAGTCATAAGCGGAAACTCAACGGCTTCCATTAAAGTTGTCTGCGTCACAGTTTGTGCATTCGAAGGCAGGACAAGGTGCCTAACACAGAGGTCTTGGAACATGCAAAAATGTGTTGCATATTCTCCACGCTTAGCAAGAGGCGCCTTTGCTGATTGGGCCATGTAAGGAGAAAGAAGGAAAGCAGTATCCCAAAAAATCTGCTGTATAGAGAGTTGGCAGAAGGGGCAAGACTGAGTGGATGGCCATGGCTGCAATTTATGAAAATTTGCAAAAGGAGTATGACGGAGGCCAACTTAGAAATCAACTAATGGGAGATCATCACGGAGCACCATTCCAGGTGGCAAACAGCAGTGTATGAAAGAGTAAAAATGGCAGAAGATGGGTGAAACAAAGCCCTTGAAACAAAAAGAGCAATATGGAAGGCCAAATCTAACCAGGAATCAATATTCTCCTGCAAGAAATGCAGCTGAGACTGCCATTCATAGAATCAGCCTAGTGAGCCATTTGATGAAGTGTACATAGCGACTCTATCATCTTGCAAAGAAAGAAGAATTCCATAGAGTTATATAAATTCATTTCAAAAGCTCAAAAGCAAATTATTAAATATTGGAATAATTTCATATGTCAAATTAAAACAAATATTTTTAACTTATGATTTTTCATATTGAAGAAATTTCTATTTTTTTTAAAAACCAGCCAAAGAAATTTAAGTTATGTTTTAAATTATATTTTTTTATTCAAAAGGCACTTAATAAAAAATTATAACTTATTCTTTATAAATGTAACAAAATATTTTTTATTTCAAAATTTGGTTTTGGTGATTATTTTTAAAGGGTTCCACCAGAGATCACCCCAATATTTTGATGGCAATTTTTTTCCGTCAAAAAGTAAATAATTTCAAATTGTACAGACTATATTTTTCCAAACTTAGATTATTTATAGATTAGAGGAGCGTGTCGTCAACAAATATGTTTATCTAGATTCACTAAATCTAAAGAAGATATAATTTAACTTTAGAATAAATCAGTTGACTTAAACAATGTGGCTAGGGGAAGTGGTATAGCTTTGTAAACAGAGCTTCCCATGAAGGGCAACTATGGCTATTTATCTGGTAATGTGATCTGGAAAGGAGGGAAACAGTATTAGTTTTACATTTTATTTCAAAGTGAAATTGCATTTGAAAGGACTGTGGTACACTATAGCTTAGACATGGAAAAATGTGACTCTTAGAGTGGTACATGGTCCTGTTAACTACGGCTTTTAAATAAGCATATTGGTGCTTTCCTGTTAATTATAGCTCTTGGCGCGGCTCTTAGTCCTTTTAAATGTGGCTCTTAGAGCTGCTTTTGGTCCTGTTAACTGCAGCTTCAGCCAAGCCAATTTTATTGTTTCAGCAATATTATTTATTTAATTTGCCACTGACATTGCATTATAAAAACAATTTTGCATCCATAGTTTAACATAGTTTAAAATTGTTGTTAAGTCTTAACAGCAATTTTAACCCACGAATTGTCATCTGCCAATTTCATCGGCCGATTTCCTCTTCAAAAAACTGTGTCACCCGATAAAAACGGCCGCTAAAAAATGCGTTGAAAGAATAAGTTCCAGTCTCATATCTTACACCAAATAAAATACTTCCGTTTTTCGCTCTTCTGTGTCTTTTTTTTAAACTTTGGAGTTTTTTTTAACAACGATCTTTATCAAGAAAATTTTTGTCAGTAGATTTTAGCGAAGTGGATCAGGCCATAGCTGAACCACCTGGCTTATAAAATAAATCAGTTAGGAATATTTTTGAAAATTCTTTTTAGCTAATGACTTAAGTGCTTGGAAGATGATTTTCCGATCACACAGGAAAACAATGATAATTATGATTGTTTTTCTAGTGGGTCAGAAAGCAAAAGTTCGGACAATTTAGACCTAGGCTTATAATGAGTAGGAGTTGCTACAACAATATGACTCGTTCAAAACTATGTTGCAGATGATTTTGTACCAATAAAAAATAATTGGATAATTTTCTATGTACATTTTCTTATAATTCATTTTATAGATTAAATATTTATAAAGCAGCTTTTTCAATTTAATTTTTTTCTTTAATATTTTCATTGTTTATGTCATGCTTTGTTACTAAAGCATTATTAAAGGTATCAGAAGAATTTTTAAAAAAATCTTTTAATAACTAAAAAATATATAAATAATACATTTTCTGAAAGATAAATAAAAATTCTATCATATTATATAAACATTATAATAATATGCCTTAAAAAAATTGTAGTTTGAGGTACTTGAAGAGAAAAATGTTCCTCATTTTCTTTATTCATGGTCACTCCAAGGTCAAGGTCATGGTCAACGAGTATAAAATATCATTAAAAAATAGCCAGTATGATTCCCCACCCAGTCTACTTTCAATAAATATATACTTTATGGGTTCTAGTTATAGTATTTGCATGTGAAAAATCACATTTTTTAAAGGCATTAAAGGCACCCAAAAAGCTCTAAATTGCCTGCACAGTACAGAAACATACAATGGACAGCTCGTGGGTTAAAACATTTGTGTCTATTGCCTCAAGCCTTCAAACCCCTAGTGCATAATTTCCTCATCACCACCAGTAACAGAAACATTGCAAATCCCATCTACATGCATAGGAGCCAAAATGATCAATAAATTGATCGTGGGCCCTTAAGATATAGAAGAAGAAGAAGAAAACTATGTTAAACAATGGATGCAACTTAGGCTAAGGCTAATTATTGTTTAAAAAAATTCCCACTGATTACATTGCAGGAGATAGCATGATCAGAATTTTTTAAAATAAGTGATTAGTTCAGCAGGGTACTACTTAAGTTACTTAAGTAAGTATTTATTATTAGTATTCGATTTTTATTAGTCCAATTCAAAATGCTCAACTGTAGCCAACTTAACTACCATTTTCAAATCTACCCGGTTCTGGTAGTGTTTGTTGCTGCATCCATATACCTATTTATGTTCCCATTCTAAACACATTTTATGACATCACTTCCATAGTCTTATGCCTAAAGTTAGAAAATATACCTGTATTTGGAGGAATTGTAGTGCCGGGAATGGTCGGTGCAATTGTAGTGGTTGTAACAGTAGTCGTAGTTGTAGTGCTTGCCGTTGAAGTAGTAGAAGCCATTGTAGTGTTTTCAGTCGTAGTGCTATTGTCCTGATTATCAGAGAGATGAACCAAAGCACTTAATATACAGAATAGCACTCCTAGTTTATACATGTTTATGTTTTTGGCCGCCATGATGTCAACTAAACGGTGCTATGCAGCAAATTCCGAAAGTTTCCGTACTTTACCGGAAAGACAACTTTCAAGTGGAATATTCATTTATGCCTACCAGATATTTCCCGCCAAACATTGGCAACAGCAATACATAATGCTGATTGAAAGAATACTTTTATATGTATATTATTTAGTTTGTTTTCATTAGCCCTATTTAAATAAATTTAATGGATCTTACCCCTGGATTGATTGGATACAAAATTTTTTAGACACAAAATTTTTTAAAGTAAAGAGAAAATAAAGAGAAAGTAACTAAGCTGATGTCCTGTCCGTTCGTTTACCATACAAATACGCTATAGTAAATTAAAACTATATTAAAACATTACTAAAAAAAATTTGCCCCCCCCCTGGAAAGTTTTCTGCGGGCGCCCATGGATCTTAAGAATAAAAAACCTGATTTTTGGAAACAAAGGATTCTTTTTTTTTAAAGGCAGAAGTGGGTGGGCAGCGGAAACGCCATTTTGCCTTAAAGTAGCGTTTAACTTTATTTTTACATTTAACCGTTTGACACATTTTTTTATAAAATTAAAATTTTTATGATGTAGACAGCGACAGTGTGAAGACAAACGGGAGATAAATTGCTATTAATCAAGGTGAAATGTGTGATACCTCGTGAAGTGAAGTATTAAGTATGGAAATGATTGGGACGATAAGTGGCATGGTGTGAAATGATAGGAAAGATATACAAATTCAACAAGGTGATGGCTTTCCTCCCATCTGACTTTTCCATGTCCTTGTTTTTGTCGTTTCCTCTCTGTAAGGAAAAGGATAACATATTTAGCGGAGACACTGTCCAGAGTCTGTGATGCCATTTTTTGTACATACATAAAAGTATTTATTTATGAGGGACGTCAATAAAGATGAGAGAGATTAGGGGGGGGGGAGGGAGCTCGTTCAAATGTGAACAAAGAGGGAAGGGGGGGTCAATGAACATATTTTTGTAATATTTTGTATTAGGTCCACTGTATGTATTCCTGTGGATATTGCTTTAGGTCCTACTTGTGATGCCATTTTTTGTACATACATAAAAGTATTTATTTATGAGGGACGTCAATAAAGATGAGAGAGATTAGGGGGGGGGGGGGGGAGCTCGTTCAAATGTGAACAAAGAGGGAAGGGGGTGTCAATGAACATATTTTTGTAATATTTTGTATTAGGTCCACTGTATGTATTCCTGTGGATATTGCTTTAGGTCCTACCTAAGAAGGGCGGGTAGGATAAGTGGCATGTGGACAAGAGGGGCGCGTAAGATAAGTGGCATGTGTGGACAAGAGGGCGGGAGGAATAAGTGGCATGTGGACAAGAGGGGCACGTAGGATAAGTGGCATGTGGACAAGAGAGGCGGGTAAGATAAGTGGTATGTGGACAAGTGGGGCGGGTAGGATACGTGGCATGTGGACAAAAGGGCTGGTAGGATAATCGGCATGTGGATAGTAGGGGCGCGGAGGGAAGTTTGGATGTGGACAAGGGGGTGCTTGAGCTAATGCGGACGTCCTTTATGAACTTATTTGTTTGAAATTGATGAAAAAAAATTATGATGATTGAGAGACATTAAATTTTTATGAGATTTTTTAAATTTTGAGTTATCTCAAACATTGTAACACTGGACAGTATGTTAAACAGATACTGAGATTGAGTTATCTGTCTTGTTCACTCTGGACATTAGATTAAACATATACCGAAAATGAATTATCTGTCTTGCACATTATATTAAACTGATGCTGGCCTCTTAAATTATCAGCTGACTGATGCTATCGGCACTTCTCTTTCGCCAAATCAAGGTACAATGTCGGAGGTACACATTCACTGTTATGGTGGACCTCTCATACTCCAAATCTAGGTAGAATGGAAGATCACGTCCACTGTAATGGTTGACCACTCATACACCAAATTAAGGTGGAATTGCGGAGGTAAAAATTCACTGTGATGGTGGACATCTCATACTACAAATCTAGGTAGTATGGAGGAACACATTCACTGTGATGGTGGTCCTCTCTCACATCAAATCTAGGTAGAATGGACAGATATAACATAGTATGTGATAGCTTTATTAGATTTATTATAACTTTATTAAATATAAACAGAGTAAGTGGCAGTTAGCTTTATTAGAAATATAACAGAGTAAGTGACGGTTAGCTTTATTAGAAATATAACAGACTAAATGACGGTTAGCTTTATTAAAAATATTTAAGAGTAAGTGACAGCTTTATTAGAAATATAACAGAGCAGGTGACAGTTATAGCTTTATCAGAAATATAACTGAATGACAGCTTTATTAGAAATATAACAGAGTAAGTGACAGTAAGTTTTATTAGAAATATAACAAAGTAGGTGACAGTTAACTTTATTAGAAATATAACAGAGTAAGTGACAGTTAGCTTTATTAGAAATATAACAGAGTAAGAGACAGTTAACTTTATTAGAAATATAACAGAGTAGGTAAAAGTTAGCTTTATTAGAAATATAACAGAGTCTTAGAATTTCAGGATAGTTATTAAATGTACATGCTTTCCTCGGACCATCAGTAGGCATAGTATCCGAAATCACCTCCCACCCAAGTATCCTGCAGCGCGTAACTTATCAATGGATGAATCAACATAATACGGATCTAGACGTTTAAATATCGACTTTTTTTATCTTAAAATTATTTTAAACTTCCTGACATCTCGCACTGTAACTTTCCCGTGGACATCCGCAACCAGGATTATTGTTTTGATTTCTTTTAAATGAACCATTTCTTAAACAAATTACATATAAATATAAACAATGTAAGGTTAAATTATATTAAAATAATATTTTCCTGATCCTTACAATCAGAAGAAAATAAAGGACACATGTGGCCATGAATTTCCTTAATTTGCTACAAGAATGCTTAACTATGCAGAAGTCTAAATTTAATTAATTTATTAAAGCAAGGAAAACACACACACAAATAGTGGGGGGTGGGGGAGAGAGACCTCAGAAACCAACTCAGCTCGCAGCAATTTAAATTAAGTCAAATATCTTCGAGGGAAATTAACAAAAAAGGATTGTTTTAGTGTTCCCACATAGGGGACGCTACACTTTAAAAATAAAATTAAAGAAAAATTTAGCGAAAGCGTGAAGAATTAATTCCCCTCAAATCTGCAAATCGTAAAACGAAGTGGCTATTCGTACCCAGGTACCATAAGTGAGAGATTGAGATAAAAAAAACTATTAAAAATATTATTGCTGGATTTGTAAGACAAAATGTGGCATCAAATAAAAGATAATTGAATGGACTATATATTTGTAAACTTACTTCTTCAGTTTAACTAAAATAAATCCCACAAATGCCCATTGAAACCTAATTTTTTTTTAAATATTTTTTTTTTCCTTTCCCATATTAATTTTTGTACATTGAGAAATTCAAAACTCGTTGGAAAGGGAAATCCCCCCCCACCAACAGATTGGAAGCGGCTGCTTCGTCTCACTCGTGCAAAAAAAAAATTTCTAAACATGAAATAACAGAGGAACACGTTGGCCTAATTTGTTACAGATTATTTCTGTTTAAAATGCACACTTCACATGTTTTTGGGGTTTTTTTTGTGGAAAAAGTAAGACGAAGTGATCAATCTAACGACAGAAGTATTCAAGAAGTAAAACGACAGGTCATTTTCAACAAGTTAAAAAAAATATATTAAAAATTGGGAAGAAAAATTGTACTAACCAATAAACAATGGCTTGGATAAATATAAAGATATTAGATCACAAATAAATTGCATAATATAAGGTGAAACCAAATGAGATTGTACTTAAAAGGGAATTTGGATGGGGAAAATGTTCAATATTTATAATATTTCTTTAAATACAACATCATTTATTTTAGGTACAATCAAATTTTCATTTCTAAACTTATTGATAATAAATAAATCCATAATTAAATTCATTGACATGCCATTTTCTTTTCTTTTTAAAAAAATGTTACTCTCAATCAATGATAAACCCTTTTTTTAATAAAGTTCAGAGTTTAAATTTGATGAACAATCTCTCAGAATGTTCTGAATACCAAAATAAAATAATAATCACTACAGCAAACGGGTGGAGATTTGAAGATTCAAAGCAACCCATTTAGGGTAGTAGCAGCTATTGTGACAGTTTAGAATTGTTCCCATGAAGCAGACCTATTTTTATTAGACGCATAACTTTTCAGGTAGTTAGCATCTTAATTTTTTTGCACGATGAATCCAGCTGATGACCAGGATGTCCACTAATTTCCATTGGTGTTTTGACAAGTTCATTTACTCAGAAGCCACTTTGGAAAAATCAAAAGTACCAAACCATCACAAAATAACCTGGTTAGGGGAGACAGCTCTCTATGTAAAAAGAATAACGGGAGATCAGAAGGGACATCTAATTAAAAGTGGAGTTTTTGCCCTTGGATTAACCTTTGTTATTGGTCTCTGGTACAGGGTATAGGCAGTAGTGTCGAGCCAATCAAGCAATAACCGGTTTGGTACTAATTTTTTAATATTGTTTTTTACATTTTTGACAACCAGTTCATTATAATAGGCTTAATTGAACAACCCATTCGCCTGCAAACTGATACATCCTTGGTTAGACTATGTGAGAGAATTACTGATACTGAATATGCTTTTTTTACCGTTAGTTTGAAAGTTGTATAATTCCTCTATTGCGTCTCGTCTATGCTAAATGATTTGGAGAAAAATGTATTATTTTTAACTATAAGCCTGAAAGGTTTAGCTGGATAAAAAAAAAAGTGCCTGGTAAAAAAAACAAAACAAAAACAATTATATGAAATATGTTTTATTTTGAAAAAAGTTTCCATCTTGAGAAATCTATTTGATTAAAACACTCAGAATATCGCAGAGAATAAAATGGAGATACCATAACATTGATAAAAAAATCAGAAAGAGGCGCACTAAAATGATTAAAGTCAGGGCTTTTCAAAAGTTTATTTCTAGTCCCTTCCTTACAAATGAAACACTGCTACTTTTAATCCCAGACGTATAAAAAACACCAGACAACTGATGTTGATCACTCTTGTATAATTTATTCACTGCACTTTTTTAGTCATCCACATACTCTCCCCCCCCCCCCCCCCCCCTCAAACACAAATTAAAGATACACATTTTATGGCACAGAAAAAATAACAACACTTTTTAAAGTAAAATAGGAAAAAATGTCCTATGTACACATAATGAAATACCCTAAGAATACTTTAAGTGTTCTGATTGATTAATTTCACTATACTTTAAGTGTTCTGATTGATTAATTTCACTAACAGACTCCGGAGCTCACGCACAAACAGATATATATTCCAGAATGTGAAGGACAACAATGATATGGGGAAACAACATTTACTCTAATAAAATTAATTAATTTCGTAAACATATTTTTTATTGTTAATTTTTTAAAAATAAAATTATTGAGACAAGTAATTATTTCGTTAAAATAGATTTTAAATTTCTCCACCGTATACATCTAGTAATAATTCTACTGTGGTAATGGAATGTCAATTCACACAAAACAAATCATTGAAAGAGCTAATGGTTACTTCTTGCTCAATGCACAGCATTGTTATATTGTTCTAATAGTTGAAATAAAGTCAATAGTGAACTAAATACTGCTTAAAAATTCTTGTGAAAAGTCAAGAAAGGCCTGTCTGTTTAAAATATTTTGACAGATCAAATATAATTTATCAAAATTACAGTTTCTTCATTGAAAGAAGAAAAAAATATCTAAAATAGTTCATCAAAATTCAAATTCATTCATTAAAAAATAAGAAGTCTGTGAGAAAAGAGAATGAATGCAGACTACTAATATGTCTGAGGTTGTGAATATTTAAACAATCTGTCATTGTAAGCATCACCATTGCTTTTCTTTTTCAAGAAACATTTTAATAATTTATCCAGTCAACTGGATTTTTCACAAACAATACAAAAAAAGATATGAAATTCTTACTGAAATTTTTAAACAGATATGCTTCCTTCACGGAAGTTGGTCTTTCCAATTAAAACATTGATCAGCACGCTGCTGCCTGCACGAGACAATGTCATAGCTTGGTGTAACACTTTTTGTATATCATCCTCATTTGTGCGATCCAGTTTAAAGCCTTTTCCACCAAATCCTTCAGCTGACATTTCATACTTGCAAAACTATGGGGGGAAAAAAAAAAATTAAACAACCAAGAATATCAAAACATAATTAGTATTGCAGAGTTGCTTTTTTGAAGGATACAAAAAAATAATACCAAACAAAATTTATGAAAACATTAACTTAAAATATGGAACAGAAACAAATATGGTTCATTTTTTGAATGTAAATATTTGTTTGATATAGTTACTGTGTCTCAAGTACACACATTTATTTGTTTGAAATCATTGAAAGGAAATTAAAAAATTTACCTCAAGTTTACAAGCAACATCTGATCCAAACATGGGAACCTGCTCTCTAGCAATCTGCATCCAGCTTGCGTCATTGCCCACAAGAGCCAGGATGGGTGTCTGTTAAAACATGATTCACTTGAAATACTGATTTATATTAGTCAATAGTTAGTGGCACCCGTTAAATTCATATTGCACTCAGTATTCAATTTATCCATGACATCAAGGATCTCTCTCCATTTTTCTCCATCACCATTCTCTCAAAGTCCCGCCAGTTTTAATTCCCATCACTACTGACTCAGTGACTCAGGCTTCTCATTGTGTTCTTTGGCCTCCCATACTATCTTGTCCCTGGCAAGCTCCATACTAATACCTGCCTCAGTGATGCTTGCAGCCCCTCTTCTGTTTATGCCTTCAATCCACTTACATATATTTTTTTTGAATAATGTCATGTTCTATTTTTATTTACTTTTAGACCTGCTGATAAATATTCAAAATAACTTTAGTTAAGATGAAGAGACTTAATGTCACTTGATCTCTTTATACCTTATGCCTTGTGTAGGTATCAAATTCAACTATACTGTATCCCAGTGAACCATCTCCATATATGATCCAAACATCAGACTCTGGTCGACAGAGCTTAGCACCTAGAGCAAAGCCACCGCCTACTCCCAGAGTTCCAAATGCACCTGGGTCAAGCCACCTTAGAGGACCTCGGGGCCTGAAGACATCAAGATGAGCACAAACAGTCAAACAACATAACATTTTAATTTTTAAACAGATGTTTTCACATAAAGCAAGGTGTCACTGAACTAAAACAGCATGCGCACTTCATTTACAGAGACAAAGTAAGTTTTAGAAATGTTTGATTGCATCAAAGTGTATACTTATATGATTTACAATATACGTAGAAAGAATCTAAACTAGAATTAAACTGATAAGCTGTCCAAATAATAAAAAAATCTATGCTCACGTTCACCTTCAAAAATGTAATTCTACCCCACAAAAAATAAAATTTTCTAGCCTTAAGAATTCACTTTAAAAAAAATTTATAGCCTTTCACCTAAGAATATAAGCTGCCGTAGCAACAAAGTCCCCACCGTCTGCCACCAGGACTGCATCATCAGACAGAACCTCTTCAAGTGCATGAAGAACCTTGACAGGGTTGAGGTGGACATCGGTTGTCTCAGAACATTTAGCTCTGTAGATAAAAATCAAAAGAGGTGGTAAAAGTTCACACTGTTATGTATGAAGTATAAGTTTTAGCTTTAGATACCGGTACTTTCCTTAACAGTATATTTATTAATAGTTTAACAATTAAATTAAAATAATTTTACAACTAGAAACAAATTAAGTAGGATAATTTGTTCTAATGTTATACATTTTCAACTTTTAAACTTCCCTATTGATAGATGGGTTTAAAAACGCTGAATGATATAAACTTGAAAAACTTACAAATTTGCAGACTCCTTTTCTTGATCTCTCTTCTGTAGTGTCTTGACCCATTCTGAGTCACACTTGTAGCCTTTCAAGCCACTGACCACAGACACAAGGAAACTGGCAACATCTGCTTGGACAGCAAGCGTGGGCTTCCAGAACATGTCGGAATTCTAAAGAAAACAGTTTTTATTCCTAGAAAAGTAATGGGTTCTAGAACCAAAGCACATAAAGAAAATGGTGGATAGAAGCCCCGCCAAACCTGTTGTTTTGCAGCTCATTCAACTGTGAAGCATTGAGTCTGGTTCTCTTTATACAAAAAAAAAAGAGGAGTTTCAAGAACCTTCTCCTGGCCAAAGACCAAAAAATTTATTTGCACACTTGTAGTTTTGGGATGGTACCTTTAATTTCCCCTTTAAACCGCGGGGAACAAATAATAATCCCTCAAGATTGTTTATGTTACTTCTGTTTCTAATGAGTTAGAGTTAGGGCCAAATAGTTGCCCCATTTCACCCCCTAAAATGCCATAAGCTAAAAGAACTATCTGCAGAGGGTTACCAGTGAACCCTGGCCTTCATAGGTCAATTCAATATACTCCTGTCAGAGTAATAAACCTTTACATCTTTCTGAGTAATACACCAATTCCTTCTCTCAGAGTAATACACCCTTCCTTCTTTCAGAGTAACACAACAAATTTCTTCTTTCAGAGTAACACACCATTCTTCTTTCAGAGTAACACATCAATTCCTTCTTTCAGAGTAACACACCAATTTCTTATTTCAGAGTAACACTATTCTTCTTTCAGAGTAATACACCATTCTTATTTCTGAGTAATACATCATTACCTCCTTCTGAGTAATACACTAATTTCTTCTTTCAGAGTAACACACCATTCTTCTTTCAGAGTACCGGGTAATACACCATTCTTCTTTCAGAGTAATATATCATTCCCTCCTTCCGAGTAATACATCATTCCTTCCTTCAGAGAAATACACCATTCCTTCTTTCAGAGTAATGCATCATTCCTCTTTCAGAGTAAGAAACCATCCCTTTCTTCAGAGTAACACACTACAACAGATTACATCCCCGAGAATGAAGTCGAACTCCAATAACTTTCCTACGGTATTTAAAAGAATACCAATGAGTAAAATGTTTTACCTTAAACAATTGATCTTTATCTCTGTTTACTGCTATAATTTTAGTCCTCCTAGGAAACACACGTCCATAACTTAGCCTAAAATCACACACAGATCCTGGAAACATACACATCATGGATTAATTTGATCCATTTTTTCTTTTAATTTCTTTAAAAAAAAATGATACTTACTGCTAAGACTAAAAGAAATCCAAAACACTTAATATTAATAGAGCCAAATGCACATTTCTAAAACAAAAATTTACATAATAACAATTGTCTTTCATAAATTGTAATAAGAATGAGATTTTCTTTATCAACAAGGATTTATAATTTTACATGGTAAAATTCATCCACGCTTTACCTGCCAAGACAATCAAATCAGCATCCCTGAGTGCCTCCCTTCTCTGCTGCCTGGCTTGTATTTCACTATAACGGCCAAGCAGACCACGAGACATTCCCCCAAGGAAGCATGGGATTCCTAGAGTCTAATCAGAGGAGAACCAACATTTTTTAGCTTTAATTTTAAGTTTGACTCAGCATCAAGGAGAGCAATAAATTACAATTGAATAAATAAGAATTTAAATTAGGGGAATTTTGCTTAAGATTAAAACACTGTGAGCATGCTAAAATAGCATGGATACAAGCGCCATGTAAGTATCCAATCAATCAATCAAACACTGATATGGGTAAATTTCAGATTAAAAAAGAACTCACCTCCAAAGCTTTCCTCAGATCCTCTACAGGCGTAGGTGGTAGAGTAGCCTGGCTTCCAACAAGAATAACTGGCTTCTTGGCTCGTGATATCAGTTCGATGCATTTCTGAACTGGAGAATGTTCAATAAATTTTTACTTTGCTGCTTGGCCAAATTTTATAGGCGTTAAAAGGGGGTAATCAAGAAAGATTAGATATGAAGATAACGGATTTATAAATTGTAATTATTTCCAGGGGGGGGGGGGGAAGAAATAATTATAACATAAATCCCTACATTTGTCTGTCTGGAAGGAGATTTTTTTTTTTTTTTTTTTAAATTTCAAAAAGGCCTCTTGTTTCAGATAATTATGAGTTTTGATAGGTTGAAATCTTAACGGCTCACATTTCCGACATATAATTTCAGTAGGTGGCAATGCAGCTTGAAAATCAGAAAAAGCTTTGTATGAAATAAGTGGCAGTCAGGAGTCACAACAGTTGTGAAAAGCCTGAATATTGAATTATACATAATTTTTTTTAGTAACATACCAGTTGACTACACGTTGACCCAAGCTGGATGGACCTGTGTCTTTCATTCCTATTTCTTTTTTCACAAGTTGATACGGATAAAGTGTGTCTATTGGGAACTCAACGAAAACTGGTCCTAAAAACAAGGAAGTAACAAGACTTTAAAAAAAAAAAATAAAATAAACAATTAACCTTTCTTTGATAACAATATTTTCATTGCAATTCATTTTTTTATTTTTTTTTTTATTAATCTATATTATTTTTACAATGTTACAAAGCTGATACAGAAATTATTTTATTTTACACTCAGTTCCAAAAAAATAAAATAAATCTACTCACATACAAACTGGAAAGTTGTTATTTTATGTCTCATGTTAATATTGCATGATTGCCAGGATGTCTTAAGTTGATTATTGTGTGAATACCACAATGTCTCATGTTAAGTACCCAGTACCGGTACTGTATTTTGTGATAGTCTGCATGTCTCATGTAAATTATTGTAGTATGATTGCCAGGATGTCTCATGTTAATTATTGTATGATTGCCAGAGTCAGAGCAATGGAGCAAAACTAAATATTCAGAGTAGAGCCCTTGAAACTTGTTCCCACTTTAGGCAGGAAATATTAGAAACAAGGTATGATAAAACCTAAAAAAAAGGATGTAACAAAATAAGGAAAGTGTTGGCAAAAAGCCTCCTTCTTCAGGGAACAAATATAAAATTAAAACTTGGCTGTAATGTTGTATCCAAGGTGTCGTATCCAAGAGGGCAGCAAGAGGCATGTGGTGGACCATTAGTAGATAAAATAGTTAGTACAAGGCGAAAGGGGGTGGAAAAGTAGGTTGACAACGGAAAAGGAGGGGGGTAGAGAAAAGCTCAAACAAGTGAAGGAGAATATATGAAATTCTCTAAGTTCACCCCGGCAGGTGTGTTGGTGCAGGAAACAATTTCGGTTATTGTCCAATCGCTTGTGGTCCTTGTGGTATTGTTTTCAGATAGGACATTGTTTATCTTCCTTAATATTTCTAGATGTTCAGTACATCTGTCTGAAAGATGCCAACCCATCTTGCCAGATTAGCCACATGGCAGCGGGTACAAACAATGGTGTAGATAAAATTGCAGCTTGTGGAAAGGAAAAAGTCTCTTATCTATCTGAAAACTACCCTTAGGGAAAAAAGTCTGTTAAATCTGGATGACAAAAGGGCAAGTTTTACAATGACTGTGTCCACATGGCTTGGTCCCAAAGTGGGAGGAGGCAGCATGGAAGGGGCTAAGAAAAAGGAGATCTCATAGATTCTTATCTCTTCTGAACATAATGAGAGGCAGAGTTGAGAAAATGTTGGGGGTGTCAGATCAGTGGGGAGAAAGGCACAGTTTTTTTTTTAAAAACCTGTTTGGCTAAGAGATGGGGCGGATGATAAGTATGAATAAGTTTGGTCCTGTCGCCATTGTCAATCAGACAAGACCTGAAGGAGTGATGATTTTAACCTTTTAAAGGGCTGAACAAAGGACTGTTTCCAGGTAGGACCAACACCGGAAATAGGCAATTGTCTCAAGTGCATTGTCCCAAATGTCATCGTCAGACTGACAACATCGACGAAGTAGTTGAGAAAAGGCAATAAGTTCCTTACAGGATATAGGGTGAGAAGAAGAGTAGAGTAAATAGCTGTGGCTGTCAGTAAGTTTAAAGTAGGCAGAAAGTGAGTAGGCTGTCTTTTTGAAGGGTGACCATAATGTCCAAAAAATTAACAGAGATTTCAGAGACCTGTGAAATGAATTTCATGGAAAGGGGGGGGGGGGAGAGAGCCCAAAAAAGAGGAGCCTAAAAAGTTGATGAAGGGTCAAGTTCACTCCTCTCCATAGTGCTGACCCCAATACCATCATCAAAGTACCATTCATAAAATTCAAGGAAGCATCCTGTTTAGGCCCCCGCCCCCCTTTCACGTGTGCAGCTGGGTCCCATTTTAGTTTCCATAGCAACACCATCGATTTGGCCAAAAAAAACCAACTTTATTTGTGATAGTGTAGGTCAAAATTTGAAGTGATGAAATCAGATATCCAATAACTTTGATTAAAAGCAATGGCCAAGTCTCACCAGGAGTTCCAGACTGAGCAATCTGCAGAGCTTTCCTGAGAGTTGGTTTAATGTCCCTCACGGATGTCACTGTAGCACAGAACTTGCACAAAGGTTTGAACAGAGAGATCTGATCGATGTCCTGCAGGGCACCTCTTCCCTGGGGAAATGTTTTAGAGAAAACTGAGTCCATGAAAAGATATCATCATTTTAATCTTTAACCTTACTTGATGGTTGTAGAGAGCTAAAAATAAGTGTATTTTCAGATCAGTGAATGGACCTTAGAACACTTAATATCTTTCCACAGCTTTACAAATGATTATAAACACCATTTCCTGTTGTCTCTCACTTTCAATAGAGCTTAACATATTGTTGTCACATTATGGAGAGCGAACTAAACCCCACACACTTTGGCAGTCTGTTAATATGATGTTAATGAGTGAAAATATTTAAAATTCAATTTATGATTTAAACCAGGAGCAACACCAGAGATTCTTGTGATCAATCAATCTGATTCTATCAGCTCCTTAAAAAAATACTTTTGTTGAACTCTAATACTTTATCTTCTTATTTTAACAAAATAAATTTAACTTACTTTCAGAAGAGTGGCTGCAGCACCTCCAATCAGAAGGAGAGGGGACTCAGCCATTTGGGCATTCTTTACTGCTGTAACTGTGTTGGTCACACCTAGAGTTTACAAATAAACAACCAAAAGTGGAATTTAAATTTTATGAAGAAAATTATGCTACACTTCAATATACTCATAATCTGTTAATTAATCATACATAAATTAATAAATAAATTAGACAATTAGTAAAATGAAAAATTTCTCCAACTAAATGTTTAAGAATCAACCTGGCCCGGCTGTTACAGCTGCAACACCCACAGTCCCTGACATCCTCGCCACGGCATCAGCAGCAAACACCGCTGTAACCTGTTAAATACCAGCAAATGCAATAATAATTCCCAGCCTGTCTCAACTTAAAATTAAAGACTCATAAAAGATAAAAATGAGTTAGGTTAGAGTTAACCAGCAAACTCATCTTAAATAAGCTTGAAGAGTCTGCCTATAAAAAGAGAAGATTTAGCAAGTTTCATTATCGGTTTGCTCTTGTTGAGGGTTATTCAATAGCTGTAAATTTTACTCGGTATTTGAACTCGGTGTGTATGTGACTATGCAAAATTATGTGACTGTCAGGTAAAACAGCCTTTTTTTGCTTTGTTTGGTTTTCACAGTGAGTCTTTTAATCCCACACATGGGGGGGGGGGGGGGGGGGGGCTGTGGGGGGGTTTTGTTTTTTCATGGGATTTGAGTCATAGATTGCCAGTGTACATGTCTCCTATGTTACTGACAGTGATATCCAGTTATATTTTGGAATTATCATTACGTTTCTAGCATGTAATATTCTTTATAATTTAAAACACATTCAGTTTCAGTAAAATAGCATAATTTGATTATATTTATGGTCTTAAAAAGCTATTAGAAAATTTACCTACCTCATGTCTAGTGTCAACAACCCGGACACCTATCTTCTCACATGCCACAAGGATGGGGGATATGTGACCTCCAGCCAGAGTGAAAATATGCTTGATGTTATGTGCCTGAGAAGGCCATGGAAGTAGATTATTATGGCTTTTAATATCATGTTGATGGGGATTATTACAGCAAAATTTTTTTTTATAACTGTTTATAAGTTAATGTCATACTTATAATGCTTTATGAATCAAGCTCCAGAAAAGTTATTGCTATCAAAAAACCTTTGTGATTGAAGTGAAAAAAATATTGAATACAGGTAGTCAAAATTAGCACTTTAAACAATCACTCCAGATGCTCAGTCTTTGAAGGTCAGTATTTTTATAAATTCCTGCTTTCCTGTGACACTTAATGATTGTAGAACTCTTAGAGCAGACTTTCTTACCTTAAGAACTTCTGCGACAAGTTCTCCTCCATGACGTTTTGACTTTTCGTCAACCTATTGTACAAGTTAAAATTTAAAAAATTAATTATTGGGTAGTGTTTATGAGGTTTGAAACTAAATAATGCATTAAAATTTTTCAGAGTGAAATGAAATTGTTATTGCACTTCTTTTATTTTTTTACACTGTAGCCATCTTGTTGACATGTCAGCAGACGTATAAAAAAAGTAGTGCAAAAAACAAGGGTTGAAAATGGGGAGCGGAAAGGGAGAGAGTGTGTTTTAGCTATTTGCAGAGAAATGAAAATAAGGAAAATAATGAGAATAAGTTATTTTTTAAACAAAATCATTAAGAAAAGGACATTTTAGTAATATTAGGGTGAATAAAAATTATAACATAAGAACATTTAATAATTAACTGATAAAAATTTAATGAAATATTTTTGGCAAAAATCCTTAAAACTTTAAAATCTACTATTACTCTACCTAAACTGAAGGCTAGTGTGAAAATGATGTCTCCCTAACTCAAGCATAAATCTTCAAACCTAAAATCAGTCTCCTAAAAAGCTTAAAATTATTTTAAAATCTTCAAAGTAATGAAAATTCAACTTACAGTTTTATCTAATACACTTTTTCATACGTAAATTCCCCCCTAATTTAGTCCCCCCCCCCCACTGTTCTGAGTAAATCTTAAATATTCAACATAATGAAAACCCAGCTTACAGTGTCATCAAAACACTAACTTTTATACACTTTATTGCAGGTTCCACCAAAAAAAGCCAAAAGTTGTCATTCCAAGATAAAGGAAAAATTTAGTCTTGTTTTAAATATTATAATTAACCACCTAATGAAATGTATTTAAAATGTTACTTCGGCGTGCCACTCATTTCTCAAGTCCATCATCTTGGTTGCCATGACCAATGACAGGTCATGGCAACCAAGATGGCAGCTGTGTATAAAAACACACATTTGCTAAAATGGGGAGGGGAAAGGGAGAGAATGTGCTGGTTTAGGGAGTTAAGCTATTTACTAAATTAGGATCAAAACATAAAAATTTAATGAATTAATTTCAGTTGGTACATTAATTTGGTGGTGAACGTAGCTACTTTATTGTATCCCTCTAGATATGCTGCAAGAGGTCTCAATGACCAGCGGTTGCTCCCTATCCTGGCATAATTTCAGCCGGCACATACTCCCTTCCTTCAACTAAAACACATGTGCGACAAAGTACATTTACACAATGTGGTAAGAAAAGTGGCAGCCCAGGGAAATAAGTGGCATGGATAGCGTAAATTTATATAAAAAATGCATTCCATCTGTGTATTAATATAAAATAAGAGAATAGTTAACTCCGGTAAAAATTTGCGACTAAACAAATGGGAGTTCACTCATCCACAGAAACTCTGGGGTGTGGGTGGGTGGACGACAGTAAGTAAAGCATAAACTGAAATGACTCATACTATGAGTTGGCTCAGTTGGTTAAGCATGTCTATTGCTGTGACAGCTCCAACCAACTTCTTTCATTTATAGTTGATTTCGGCATCATTTTTTGTCAATTTTGTAATTCAGTCTGTTAGTCTTAAGTGCTCTTAAGTCATTAGACATTTGTAACGATTTGTGTGGACCTGAGTGGATTGTAATAAGGCGCCGCACCCACTAAATTAGACATTTTATCACTTATTAGGGTTACCTTATGAAGAATATTATATATTATTCCAAATTTCTTCAAGAAAAATAAAACTCCAAAAGATGCAGCTGTCAAACCAGCAGGTAAAGCATAAAGCGAAACATAATGTTGGACATTGGCACCAAACCGATCAAAGTTCGCCATTTTGCGTTCACTCCAGTCATGTGACCAAACCTAAAAATAGAGAATATTTGGGTGATATCTATATTTATAAAAGTTTCGCTTTAAAACTTTTTTGCATTTTTTTTTTTACTCATGCCAATTACTAGAACAACTGCTGTAATTTTCTGGACATACAAATTAGTGTATTACTGAATCATCGGTCCTACTTAAAATAAATAAATTTATTGAATCTCCAATCTTAAAATTTCTTTGAAACCCACAAAATTCCACATCTGGTGACCATCTTAAAAAAGTGTTTATAATTTATTTCACCCATTCTTTGATTTTAAATCTTCAAACAACATACTTCATTCTTTGTGGTGTTTGTTTGTGAAATGTTTATTTTGCTTCATAGTCAAATAATCATAAAGCTCAACCCACACTTTTTCTTCAAATATTAAAAGAAAATATTTGAAAACTTGAATTTTATTTTTTTTCTCCCCCCCCTCTATATCTCTTTATACATATATATAAGCATACTATATTATGTATAGTGTATAGGCTACACATACACACAAATAATTTGACCATACCTCGTAAGCAATCGTCTCTAAACTTCTCCTTTTCACTCTCTCTCTCTTTCTCTTCTCTCCCTCCACCTCCCCCCAACTTTTCGTCGTCTATATTTTGATTCTTGTTAAGTGCATGCAAAAAGTCATTTATACAACTATGCAGCAGTGCCACCCCTCCTACCCCACATAACCCAATTATCTTTTCTATGTGAACATTTAACCATAGCACCGATTTGGACCAAGGAACAACCTATCAAATAGCAGTAGTAAGTTACTAACACGTTTGTGCTGCGTGGCGAGCAGTTGGCAGTTGCATCGATAAAACTACGCTATTTACATACACTTTATATCGTTGTTTTGTTGTGGCCGAAGAGAAAAGGTAAGACCTTTGTTAAAGTTTTTAATGCACAGAAAATATTTGCCGGTTAAAAATCATTTATAAGTTTTGATGACCTATTTGACCCTTAGGTTTTAGTGTTAGAGATGAGGTGGGGGTGGTCAGGTAGTCTTGCTCAAACTAAACACAAGGGTCACAGACTGGCATCTCGGTTTGAGAGCATTAAATGCACTTTATTATCATCATGTGTTACAATTTTTGAACTCTGCAGTGAGTTTTTAACCAATAATTATGAATCGTAATCTTATAAGTAGGCCATTAGAAAAAGTACATAATGATATTTGGGTTTTTCAAATTTTATGTTATTAGTTAAGAAGCGAAAAGCCAGGAAGGGGGGGGGGGATAAACATGAGTAGGCTACTAAGGCCATTACAAATTGAAACGATATCACACTGACCGGGGGTCCTAAGAACAATGGGATAAGCAAAAGTGATGTCATAAATAACACTTAAAATGACATTGTGCAAAAGGAAGCAGTTTTTAACCACACCCCTCTCGTCACAAAATGTTAGACCCCCATTTTGATACAAGCTCCCACTAAAAAATGTACAATTTGAAACCAGGCCCACTTCAGATTCACATTTTTAATAACTTTAAATACTAGGATATTGTTTTGCTATTTACTTTGCAGAGACCGGGGATGGGGTTAGTTCAAAAGCGGACAAAGTCGGACAGGTGGGGGGGGGGAGGGGTTGTAAGGGTCTTGAGGACGTCCAAAAGCTAGCTTATGTTTTGTTATACGCTGCTTAGGTCGATTGCGTGTATTCCTCTAAGTCTATGGTTGCTCTATTTGAGAAAAAAATATAATTAATTATAAACTATCAAGAATTTAATTAACAAAAATTTACCCAAGGGACATCGCTCTAAATATTTGGTTGATATTTATCCACAAATTAAATGTAAACAATGCGAGTTTCTCTCTGGTTAAGATTAATCCTAATTGAAAGAAGTAAAATATTAGGACCCCCCCCCCCCCCCTGATAAACTGCCCTTTAATGTATGTGAACAATCTCTCAGCCCCCATCCCCTAAAAATAAAATTCATAAAGATTAAGACGTAAAATACAATTAAATTAAGTTAAGTCATTGTATTTCAGTTCTTCCTGACATTCCCCTCCCATTTTTTTTCCTTATAGTAGCCTATATAGGGAGACAACTTGTGGATTATGAGAGGTCAAATAATGGGTTCAAAGTCCAAAAATTCTAAGTTAAACGAACGAGGTGACTGTGCAATTTTTGTTTCTTCCCACTCACATGTCGGGTTGGGGGGGGGGGTGGCATTAAAACATTTAGGTCATCAGTTGGTGCGTGTGATTAAAAACAACATTGGAAGCAATGCCTTAAGCATACTAAAATTATATCGTGGGTCACCTCCCCTACCCCGAGCAGCTGTTTGGTTAAGCCCAAAGAAATAGTAACATCACAAATTACATCATGCAAAGCAACGGAACATCATGCATAACAAAAAAACATTCCGGTGATTTATATTAAGAATTCAAAAAATATTTAAAATTAAATATCATGGACCTCTCCAAAGAAATAGTAACATCACAAATTACATCATGCAAAGCAACGGAACATCATGCATAACAAAAAAACATTCCGGTGATTTATATTAAGAATTCAAAAAATATTTAAAATTAAATATCATGGACCTCACATTTTTCTTGGTGACAGATTATTAGAGAGATTAGAGCGGGACAGAATTATTAAATGTACATATTTTCTTCAGACCATCCTCCCCCCCCCCCTTTTTTTTTTCACACATAGTTAACAATCCACATGCAGGCAGATTTTTAAATGCAGACAAGGGGGGGGGGGGTGGGTTGCGGGCATCCTTTATGCACAACCAAACCCTTTTTGGAAAGCTGAAATTTAGAAAAAAATAATTCAAATTCATAGACATCCGCAAGTAGGTGGGGGAGGGGGGAGGAATGGAAGTATGAGTTAGTATGTCAATCATCAATGTGATACAAAAATGATAATGATAGCAATAGAAAATTCAAATTAAAAAGAAATATTTTGGGGGGTATAATTTATATATAATATATGATTATCGAGGTGCGTCAACTAGCCTGAAGCCAACTGACTCTGAACAAAATGGACCATTGTCTCTCTAAATATTTGGTTGATATTTATCCACAAATTAAATGTAAACAATGCGAGTTTTCTCTCTGGTTGAGATTAATCCTAATTGAAAGAAGTAAAATATTAGACACCCCCCCCCCCACATGATAAACTGCCCTTTAATGTATGTGAACAATCTCTCAGCCCCCATCCCCTAAAAAATAAAATTCATAAAGATTAAGACGTAAAATACAATTAAATTAAGTTAAGTCATTGTATTTCAGTGCTTCCTGACATTCCCCTCCCATTTTTTTTCCCTTACAGTAGCCTATATAGGGAGACAACTTGTGGATTATGAGAGGTCAAATAGTGGGTTCAAAGTCCAAAAATTCTAAGTTAAACGAACGAGGTGACTGTGCAATTTTTGTTCCTTCCCACTCACATGTCGGGTTAGGGGGGGGGGATGGCATTAAAACATTTAGGTCATCAGTTGGTGCGTGTGATTAAAAAACAACAACATGAGAAGCAATGCCTTAAGCATACTAAAATTATATCGTGGGTCACCTCCCCTACCCCCGAGCAGCTGTTTGGTTAAGTCCAAAGAAATAGTAACATCACAAATTACATCATGCAAAGCAACGGAACATCATGCATAACAAAAAAACATTCCGGTGATTTATATTAAGAATTCAAAAAATATTTAAAATTAAATATCATGGACCTCACATTTTTCTTGGTGACAGATTATTAGAGAGATTAGAGCGGGACAGAATTATTAAATGTACATATTTTCTTCAGACCATCCTCCCCCCCCCCTTTTTTTTTTCAACCGCAGTTATCAATCCACATGCAGACAAGTTTTTTAATGCAGACAAGG